TTAAGTCTTATATGAAAACAAATATTAATTTTCTTTAGTATATCATATACATAATTTAGTCTGATGCATTACTTTTGTCTTAATAAATTCAGGAGTTTAAAGAAATTTGAACCATATCTGAAAATTTATGTTTCATAACCTACTAGATGATATGAAAAGCATATTACGATCACATATTGGGCCATTAGTGAGATCACCGATGGTCACAACAAAGTGCAGTCATCGTATTGTGCAATTACATAGCCCGATCACATGATGTGTGGTCGTGTAGAATTTTTTGTCATTTTTTCTTCTTAATACAAATTTGCTTTGTATTTTGGAAAGTACATAATTTCTATCCCGTATCCGAAAAGTATTAACAGAGTACTATGCACGTAGAACTGTGTCAAAGGCCGATTATTCAACAAAATACAATAATTTTACATAATTGATATTTTCGTGTGGAAGAGAATAAATATAAATCATGAATTCGAATGGAAGTTTGATACATGAACGATTTATGAAATTTGTAAGAAAAATCACAGACATGCTGACAACAAATGTTAATAAGGATCGGGATAATTTAGAAATAAATAGATTCATTACCTAGAATTGGAAGATGCGTGTCAAACAAAAGGTCATGAAACAAATAATTTGACAAAATTGCAAAATATAGTCATTATATTTTAACGGTGGCAATAATAGCCACCATCTTTACTAATTGGCAAAAGTAGCTAGTAACTCTTAAAATTACGTGTGAAGCAATTCAATTTATGCGTCAAGATTGAAGCTTGAACTAGATGTCTAACAACACCGGGCATCCATATTGTTGTTGTATACTAAAAGCTAAATTCCAAACTCCCCCAAGAGTGGAAAAAGATTTTTCTCGTGCCTCCATTAGGAGGCATGTCTGTTTAGTATTCGGGATTTTTTCATATTGATTTGGTGCGAATACTGTATGAATAAGGGTCGAGCCTCCTCTATGTGCCCATGCTCCACAAATAATTTCGGATTTTCACAAGAGAATGAATGAGGTGGAAGAAGTGGATAAGAGGATTTTTATTGAAAAAGTAGTGATTTTGAAGTTTGAAAAGAAAACAAAAAAAAAAAATGAAGGTAGAAATTCAGAAATTGAAAAATGAGAATAATAGCAGTTCAGAGTTTTAAGGATACTAGTAAAGTGCACGTGCGATGCACGTGACGACGAATGTTTTTTTACTGATTAAATTTAGTAAGATAAATTAATTAATTTATTACACATATATATGATTGCAGGAACAAAATAAAACGTAGAATAAATAAACTTTTCATGCATTTTATTTTAAATAAAAAAATGTTGTCGTAATATAAAAAGATTTAAATATCATATTACAACTCCAACAAAAATATATGAAAAATGAGTTCCTAATGAAAAAACAATAAATGACTAAATAAAGACATAGTGTATATTATAGATGCATGAGTTATTTTATTTATTTATGTTCGATTCAAGAGTCATTTTCTTTTATTTTGGTTTTGATGTTCTCATAAGAAACATTCACACTCGTTGAATTCTAATACATCAATAGTATTGCAAAATTCTTCTTAATTAATTTGGCAAAACGTCTGTTTTATTCAACACTTAGAAATACTTTAGCCAAACATATAGTCAAACTTTATGATTGTATGATCATTATAAGGTATTTCTACTAATAGTTCATAAGTATCTCTGTGAAATAAACAATTGTAGCATTAAATTTCTTGATAT